GTTCTACCTAAATAGAAAAGTCACCCAGCAGAATGGAGAATAGAGAATTCCATTCTCCAAATCACAGAAACAGATTATTGTCCACTGAAAGGAGAATTCTCCCCCAGCCTTTGTAGCAAGGCAATTTCTTCAAGATTAAAAAATTGCTTCTGCAAGACAATTGCTACTGAGTATTTTAAAGCAATGAAAAGTAAATCAATTACCCTCTACCACTCTTTCACTATTTAGCAAATATCTGTTTATAGAGGACTTTATTTTATTTTATTTTTTTTTGAGATGGAGTCTCACTCTGTCGCCCAGGCTGGAGTTCAGTGGCATGATCTCGGCTCACTGCAACCTCCGACTCCTGGGTTCATGTCATTCTCCTGACTCAGCCTCCCAAGTAGCTGGGACTACAGGTGCCCACCACCACGCCCAGTTAATTTTTTCTATTTTTCAGTAGAGACGGGGTTTCACCGTGTTAGCCAGGATGGTCTCGATCTCCTGACCTCGTGATCCGCCCGCATCGGCCTCCCAAAGTGCTGGGATTACAGGTGTCAGCCACCGCGCCCGAACTTTTTTTATTTTTTTAAGAGACAGGGTCTCACTTTGTCGCCCAGGCTGGAATGCAGTGTCATGTTCATACCTCACTGCAACCTCTAACTCCTGGGCTCAAGCAATCCTCTTGCCTTAGTCTCCCAAGTAGACAGGAATAGAGGAACATGCCACCACACCTGGCTAATTTTTTTTTTTTTTTTTTGAGACAGAGTCTTGCTCTGTTGCCCAGGATGGAGTGCAGTGGTGCGATCTCAGCTCACTGCAACCTCCGCTTCCCAGGTTCAAGTGATTCTCGTCCTTCAGCCTCCCAAGTAGCTGGGACTACAGGTGTGCACCACCACACCTGGCTAATTTTTTGTATTTTAGTAGAGGCCGGGTTTCACCATGTTGCACAAGGTGGTCTCGAACTCCTGAGCTCAGGCAATCCACCTGCCTCGGCCTCCCAAAATGCTAGGATTACAGGTGGGAGCCATTGCAGCTGGCCCTGGCTAATTTTTAACTTTTTATAGAGATGGTGTCTCATTATACTGCCCAGGTTGGTCTCAAACTCCTGGCCTCAAGTGATCCTCCCACATCAGCCTCCCAAAGTGCTAGAATTACAGGCATGCCTGGCCTATACTGGACATATAAACATCAAAGCTAATGCTATACAATTAGTTAAAATGACACAGAGGAAGACAGTGACTTTGAATCTCTAGTTCCCACATAACACATATCAACTAGGATAACAAAACTAAAAATCCACAGACAACACACATAACAAACAAGTGACAAAAGTAGTCTCATGATTTCCAAAACATGAGCAGAGGCCGGTGGCTCATGCCTGTAATCCCAGCACTTTGGGAGGCCGAGGCAGGCAGATCACCTGAGGTCGAGAGTTCAAGACCAGCCTGACGAACATGGAGAAACCCTGTCTCTACTAAAAATACAAAAAAAAAAAAAAATTAGTTGGGCATGTTGGCACATGCCTGTCATCCCAGCTACTTGGGAGACTGAGGCAGGAGAATCACTTGAACCTGGGAGGCAGAGGTTGTGGTGAGCCAAGATCACGCCATTGCACTCCAATCTGGGCAACAAGAGCAAAACTCCTTCTCAAAAAAAAGAAAAAAACATGAGCAGGGAAGGATAAATTCTTTTATCTATGTGGGGGAATTTGCTAGTCCTAAGAACAGGCAATTCAGGGACCTAGTCTTTCAGGTCTGCCATCTTGAAAGCTTAATGAAAAGCTACCTGGAAGGCGTATTCTCAAACAAATTGTTGACAACAGCAGCTGAACCTGGGAGGATTTTTATATACTTGAGGGTGATTGTGAGGAGCCAGAGTTAAGGTCTGCGGGGACTGGAGCAAGCTGGGCCCTATAGAAACTTTCTAAACTAACAGCCAATGCTCACTTTCTGGGACAAAGCCCCATACTGAGGAGAAACTGCTGGACAGAGGATCTAAACTAAGGATGCCAAGAATAACAGGATCAAAGGGAAAAAAAATACAGAGAAAAGTGAGGAAAGACACAGCTAGAACCAGAAAGTAGACCTTTTTTTTTTAACAGCTTCACTCAGATATAATTTACAGACTATATTTTAAGCACTAACAAAAATAACAGAAGCAGCAGCTCTAGAGCTGTGACGCCAGAAGTATTCTCACCAATGCCTTCCCATCTACAGTTCAAAAAGTTTAACTTAATCTAAAAATGAGCAACAGAAAAGATCACACTCAAATCTCACAGAAAGTAATTAGGAAGGAAAAAAGAGGAAACAGAATAAGCTGGGAGCAGTGGCACAAGCCTGTAATCCCAGTTACTCAGGAGGCTGATGAGAGAGGATCCCTTAAGGCCAGGAGTTAGAGGCTGCAGTGTGCTATTACTGTGTCTGTGCCAAGGTACTCCAATGCTGGCAACACGGTGGGACTCTGTCTCTTAAAAAAAAAACAATTTTGGCAGACACGGTGGCTCATGCCTGTAATCCCAGCACTTTGGGAGGCCTAGGTGATCATTTGAGGTCAGGAGTTCTAGACCAGCCTGGACAACCTGGTGAAAACCTATCTCTACTAAAAATACAAAAATTAGCTGGGTGTGGTGCTGGAGCCTGCAATTCCAGCTACTCTGGAGGATGAAGCAGGAGAATCGCTTGAACCTAGGAGGCAGAGGTTGCAGTGAGCTGACATTGCACTACTGTACTCCAGCCTGGGTCACAAAGCTTGACTACATCTTAAAAAATAAATAAATAAATAAATAAATAAATAAATAAGCAGATTATCTCCACAAATAAAGTGATCTAGAAAGGCTTATCCACAAAACAAATAAAAGCATACCACTTTGAATGAACTCAAACATACATGGCTGGGCACGGTGGCTCACGTCTATAATCCCAGCACTTAGGAGAGCCGAGGCAGACAGATCACTTGAGGTCAGCAGTTTGAGACCAACCTGGCTAACATGGTGAAACGCCATCTCTACTAAATATACAAAAATTAGCCAGGTGTGGTGGTGTGTACCTGTAATCCCAGCTAGTCTGGAAGCTGAGGCATAAGAATCGCTTGAACCTAAGAGGAGCAGGTTGCAGTGAGCCGAGATCTTGCCACTGCACTCCACCTGGGTGATAGAGTGAAACTGTGTCTCAAAAAATAAATAAATAAATAAATAAATAAGAAATAAAATAAAATATACATATATATCATATATTGGCTGGGCACAGTGGCTCTCGCCTGTAATCCCAGCACTTTGGGAGGCAGAGGCAAGTGGATCGCTTGAGCTCAGGCAGTACTGTTTCCATAAGCCCTCTCAGGAATCTACCCAATAACAAGTCACAAACAACAAAAATGACTGGAGACACTGACATAAGGACTGACGGCACTGATTATTGGTGGATGTTAGCATCACAAAAAGAACTAGACATACATATCTCCTGCCAGAAGTACACCACCTATGAAGCAGTTCTGCCCTAAACAAACAAACAAACTTGAATATTCAGAAAATATAGAAGACAGAGGAACATGTTAAATGACATCATGGGGAAGCAATACTCTAGATTTATGACAATGTAGTTTCTTAAACAAAAAAAGCTATAAAAAATACATAAAGGAGAAATCCATATATAAAAAGCGACTTAATAATCACACAATGTAAAAATCTTATTTGGACCCAGATTCAAGAAAACAAACAATAAAAGAAAATAAACATTTCTAAGACAACTGATAATGTAAAATGAATATTTTGAAATATTAACTTTTTAGAAGTGATAACTGTATTGTTGGTTTTTCTGAAAATCCTTTTCTTTTAGAGATATATACCCGAACATTTATGGACATAACAACATGATATCTAGGGTTTGCATAAAAATAATTCTGAAAGAGGAGGTATGTTAGCATATAGATAAAATAATTATTGAAGCTGGTGGATGAATACACAGGGGTTCATTACATGATTCTATCAACTTCTGTACATGTTTGAAATTTTCTATAAAAGGTTTTTTTTTCTTTTTCTTTGAGATGGAGTCTCACTCTGTCATCCAGGCTGGATTGTAGTGGCACAATCTCAGCTCACCACAACCTCCACCCCTGGGTTCAAGCGATTCTCCTTCCTCAGCCTTCTGAGTAGCTGGGATTACAGACACCCACCACCACACCCAGCTAATTTTTATATTTTTAGTAGAGATGGGGTTTCACCATGCTGACCAGGCTTGGTCTGAACTCCTGACCTCAGACGATCCACCCACCTCGGCCTCCCAAAGTGCTGGGATTACAGCCATAAGCCACCGTACCCAGCCAAAATATATTTTTTTAAGAAAGAAAAAGACACATGGATTTAGTATTCTGATTTAGTAATTTAATAAAAATTTGTAGTTTTGTAACACAACTCTAAAATATTACTCTCTCTTACCCATAGAAATTCATTTTGTTTCAACTTTTATATTTTCCAGATCACATTTTCAAAGTTTAAAAAAAAAATGATAACACCTGATAGAGGTCAGGTGTGATGGCTCACATCCATAATCCCAGCACTTCCACAGGCCAAGGCGGGTGCGGGGGCCAGGGAGTGGGGAAGGCGGGGAATTGCTTGAGCCCAGGAGTTCAAGACCAGTCTGGGCTACATGGTGAAATCTCATCTCTACAAAATATGCAAAAAATTAGCTGGGCATTCTGGCACGCACCTGTAGTCCCAGCTACTCAAGAGGCTGGGGTGGGAGAATCACCTGAGCCCAGGAAGTCAAGAATGCAGTGAGCCATGATTGTCCCACTGCACTCCAGCCTGGGCATAACAGGGAGACCCTGTCTCAAGACAAACAAAACTGATAAAATCTATCCTGACTTATCAAGTCACAGGATTACAGGTGTGAGCCACGACACCCAGCCTTACAACTCAATTTTGAGAATGACTATCAAATCTAGTCCACAAAGGACAAAAAAATTTTCGTTCAGTGATTCATCCCCATAATTTCAATTACAGAAAGCATGAAAAAAAGACTTACCTGTTTTATGTGTGGATTCATGGCCATTTCAGTTACATTCTTTTTGGTCTCACAGAAAATAATAGCCCTCCCTTCAGACCCACTGTAGACTTGAAGGACATCTCCAATAACTGCCGGCCTCTGAGACCAATGACACTGGATGGCCAAATGCTTTGAAGAAAGAAAATATCACAGTATTTGTTTCATTAAAATTATTTTAAAATATTTCTCTTGTGTAGTTTTTCTATCCGGTCAAGAATTAGCCTCTCTGGGAGACTGTAAGACAAAGACTCTCTTCAACAGCACTTAAAAACAATATAGACAAATGGCCATCAATAAACTGATGAAAGAATAAACAAACTGCAGTATATTCAAACAGAATACCATTCAGCAATTAAAAGAAACCAACTACTGATATACATGGAACAATATGAACCTTAAAAAAAATGCCGAATAAAGTCTTAACAGAAAATGAGCACACACAGTATAATTCCATTTATATGAAGTTCTAGAATAGGCAAAACCAATCAACTGCGGAAGAAAAATCAGAACAGTGGTTGTCTCTGAAGTGGGGATACTGACTGGGAAGAGGCATAAGGGAAATTTCTGGGATGATGGCAATATTCTATATGGTGATAAGGGTTCGGGTTACACACATATGAATTTTTAAAAAATAGGCAAATGTACAAAGATTTTGCATTTCATTGTACATAATAAAAATAATATGAATGAACCTCAAAAACATATGCTAAGTGAATGAAACGACATAAAAAGTCACATATTGTATGATTACATTTACAGTCATGCGTTGCTTAATGACAGGGATACGTTCTGAGAAATGTATTGTTAGGCAGCTTCATCATTATGCAAATATCACAGAGTGTACTTACACAAACCTAGGGTATAGCCTACTACACACACCTAGGCTATATGGTATGTCCTGTCGCTCCTAGGCTACAAACCTAAACAGCATGTTACTGTACTGAACATTGTAGGCAATGGTAAGTATGTGTGTCTCTAAACATATCTAAGCACAGAAAAGGTACGGTAAGAACATGGCATAAAAGATAAAAACTGATACACCTGTATAGGACGGCTCCATTATAATCTTATGGGACCACCATCGAATATGTGCCACCGTATATATGGTCCACCGCTGACCAAAACATTGCTATGGAGCACATGACTGTACACGAAATATCCAAAACAGGTATATCCACTGAGACAAAAAACAGACTAGTGATTGACAGTGGATAAAGAAAGGAGGGAATGGAGGCTGGGAATGGTGGCTCACGCCTGTAATCCCAGCACTTTGGGAGGCCGAGGCGGGCAGATCACATGAGATAAGGACTTCAGACTAGCCTGGCCAACGTGGCAAAACAACATCTCTTCTAAAAATACAAAAATTAGCCGGGCATGGTGGCGCATGCCTGTAGTCTCAGCTACTCAGGTGGTTGAGGCAGGTGAATCACTTGAACCTGGGAGGTGGAGGCTGCAGTGAGCTGAGATTATGCTTTAATTTTTTAATGATATTAAAGAATTACATTGCACTGCAGCCTGGGCAACAAGAGCAAGACTCTGTCTCAAAATAAAAACAAAAACACAACACAAACAAACAAGAAAACCCACCACATCTTTGAGTGGTGTTAACAGTAAAAAAATAAAAATAAAAATAAAAACCACAGGGATGCAAATCAGCAAAACAGACTATGGGAAACTCATAAGACAAATGAGTTTTTCTGTTGTTACTGTTTTTTTCTGAGACGGAGTCTCACATTGTCGCCCAGGCTGGAGTTCAGAGGCATGATGTCAGCTCACTGCAACCTCCAGCCCCTGGGTTCAAGTGATTCTCCTTTTTCAGCCTCCCAAGTAGCTGGGACTACAGGCACGTGCCACTGTGCCTTGCTAATTTGTGTATTTTTAGTAGAGATGGGGTTTCACCATATCAGTCAGGTTGGTCTCGAACTCCTGACTTCAGGTGATCTACTGGCCTCAGCCTCCCAAGGTGCTGGGATTATAGCTGAGCCACCGCGCCTGACCAACAAATCAGTTTTTTCAACAGAAAATTGCAAAGAAAAAATAGGAACTATAGATTATAAAATGTTTAAGACTCATATCAATCAGTAGCAATGTAAGAATTCTATTTGGATCCAGATTCAAACAAACTATTTAAAAAAGATAGCAAGGGCGATGTGCACACTAGGTATTTAATGACATTATAAGAATTACTATGCTAGTCGCAGTGGCTCATGCCTGTAATCCTAGGACTTTGGGAGACTGAGGTCATGAGTTCGAGACCATCCTGGCCAACATCATGAAACACCCATCTCTACTAAAAATACAAAAAATTAGCCGGGTGTGGTGGTGGGCACCTGTAATCCCAGCTACTCGGGAGGCTGAGGCAGGAGAATCGCTTGAACTGGGGAGGCGGAGGTTGCAGTGTGCTGAGCTCACACCACTGCACTCCAGCCTGGGCAACAAGAGTGAAACTCCGTCTCAAAAAAGAATAAATAAATTACTGTTTTTCTTCTACTGTGATAATGACTGTGGTTTTAAAGAGTCCTTAGTTACCATTTTAGAAGAATATACTATTACTTGAAGATGAAATGACTGGGATTGTTTCAAATGCAGGGGTGAAGAAAAGATCATTGTTAAAGACTAGTAATAGGTAATGGGTACATCATGTTCTTTATACTATTCAATCTTTCTATTCAATTTACTATTCAATTTTATATGCTTGAAAATGTCCTTATCAACTTTTTTTACTGGTACATTTTACATTCTTACTGCAAAACTTTCAACCATTACAAAATATACAAAGCTTCTTATTTTTTACTCTTGTTTTTTTTGAGACAGAGTCTCAATCTGTTGCCCAGGCTGGAGTGCAGTGGC